GGTGCTGCTGCGCTGCGCCCCCAATGAGCCCCGCTCTCACTAGTCACTGCCCAACTGGTCCCCTGGATTGCACTGGTGCCTGCCCACCCTCCAGCCCACCCGTGCAGCCCGGCCTGGTTGACCACTGCCTATCCCTCAGCAGGATGCAGTGGGATGGAGGACACGCGTCCTGCCCCGCCACAGCACAGCTCGCCTCCTACCTGGCCCTTCTCTGCGTCGTCACCCTGGTAGCATTTGGGGCACTCCCAGCAGTTAGGGAGCTCATCGTTGAGCAGTCCTTCCCCATCCATCTGCAAAGAGAAGAGGGCAGTCAGCAGCAGTCCTTCCCCACAGCCAAGCCCCCTCTGCCCCAGCGCCCACGCTGCTCACCTGCAGGCAGCCAGGGTGAACAATCTCGTTGCAGATGCAGCACTCCATGAGCTTCTTCTCAAAGTCCTGTGAGTCCTCGTTCTGATCCACCTCCCCGCAAAGTGCACACGTGACCGAGTGAGGCAGCCTGGGCTACAAAGGAAAGCAGGGGTGAAACCAGGACAAGGTGGCACAGCCTTCCTCCTTCTCTCCCCCATTGCCTGAATCACGGGGGAAGGGGCCAACTATCCCCCAGGAATCAAACTTAGTCGTTGCCCTCCTCTCTCTGACCCTGATCGGCCACATAGAGTTACTGCCAGGCTGCAGCGGACTTCGGAGAAAAGAATCAAGCCGCAAACTCACCGCTAAGCATTGCCGGAGGACGCAGGACTGCTTCATGCGGCCAGGCCCGCCAAACTTCTTCATGTCCCTGCAATAGTGGCACATGCCACACTCGCCCTGCATGCAAGCCTTGCATTTTCGGCACCGCACCCGCCTCCGCCTGGCGCCTGACACGATGGGAGAGACCGTAGGCCTGACGGGTGTCGGGCGGGGGGTCGGCTTCATGGTGTGTGGCTTGGTGATGGGGATGGTGGGCAGGCGCACCCTCAGCCGGGCCTGGAGCTTTAGCTGGCAACAGAAATGGAGAGGGAAGTGGCGTGAGATGAGTGAACTGCTGCATTCAGCTTGGATCAGAAAGCCTCTGATCCCCGGCTCCCTTGCTATGACCTCAGATAATGTGACAGAGAGCAGCCCTGCTCCCTCACCTCTCTGCAGACAAAGGAGCCTGTATCGGTGCTGCCCCGGGCAGCTCTCCTCAAACACACTCAGTCTTCGCCACCCCACACCAAGAGCTCTCCTTCCTCCCACCCCCCCATCAGCAGTCAGAAACGGGTCTGAAAAGGGCTGCTGAATCCCAAAAGCATCGTGGTGCTCCAACAACAGCCACTCTTCCCTTCTGAGGCAAGGAATGACAAAGTCCACCCGGGCAGCCAGAAAGGCTGTCTTCTCTCTGTGCCACCCAGGTCCCTCCGCCAGCTGTGCAAGGGTACAGCGCG